GGGCGGGGTGTGCGGCAGGACAGGACGGGTGTGCGGCAGGACGGGGGAGAGGCCAGCTTTGACAGTTTACAGAATAGTGTCTCCAGCCCATGCCCTTGCCTGGGGCAGAGGAGGAGACACCCACGTAGGAGCTGGGAGGGAGGCCTGGGCTTTGAGTGACCCAAAGAGCAGGTCCCCAGGGCACAGGGGGATTCCCAGCCTGTTTGGCATAATGGGCGTGCGCCTGCCCCACAGTGCCCAGAAGCAGCCCATGAAGGGACAGGCTGCCCGGGACTGGATTAAGGCCTGAGTTTGATCCCATCAAACCCATGGGAGCGTTACTGGAGCGGGGGCCGTGGAATGACTGGAGGTGTTTGTACGTGGGCAGGGCCGTGGAGGCAGTGACATTTGTAACCGGGCAGGGCCGTGGAGGCAGTGACATTTGTAACCGGGCAGGGCCGTGGAGGCAGTGACATTTGTAACCGGGCAGGGCCGTGGAGGCAGTGACATTTGTAACCGGGCAGGGCCGTGGAGGCAGTGACATTTGTAACCGGGCAGGGCCGTGGAGGCAGTGACATTTGTAACCGGGCAGGGCCGTGGAGGCAGTGACATTTGTAACCGGGCAGGGCCGTGGAGGCAGTGACATTTGTAACCGGGCAGGGCCGTGGAGGCAGTGACATTTGTAACCGGGCAGGGCCGTGGAGGCAGTGACATTTGTAACCGGGCAGGGCCGTGGAGGCAGTGACATTTGTAACCGGGCAGGGCCGTGGAGGCAGTGACATTTGTAACCGGGCAGGGCCGTGGAGGCAGTGACATTTGTAACCGGGCAGGGCCGTGGAGGCAGTGACATTTGTAACCGGGCAGGGCCGTGGAGGCAGTGACATTTGTAACCGGGCAGGGCCGTGGAGGCAGTGACATTTGTAACCGGGCAGGGCCGTGGAGGCAGTGACATTTGTAACCGGGCAGGGCCGTGGAGGCAGTGACATTTGTAACCGGGCAGGGCCGTGGAGGCAGTGACATTTGTAACCGGGCAGGGCCGTGGAGGCAGTGACATTTGTAACCGGGCAGGGCCGTGGAGGCAGTGACATTTGTAACCGGGCAGGGCCGTGGAGGCAGTGACATTTGTAACCGGGCAGGGCCGTGGAGGCAGTGACATTTGTAACCGGGCAGGGCCGTGGAGGCAGTGACATTTGTAACCGGGCAGGGCCGTGGAGGCAGTGACATTTGTAACCGGGCAGGGCCGTGGAGGCAGTGACATTTGTAACCGGGCAGGGCCGTGGAGGCAGTGACATTTGTAACCGGGCAGGGCCGTGGAGGCAGTGACATTTGTAACCGGGCAGGGCCGTGGAGGCAGTGACATTTGTAACCGGGCAGGGCCGTGGAGGCAGTGACATTTGTAACCGGGCAGGGCCGTGGAGGCAGTGACATTTGTAACCGGGCAGGGCCGTGGAGGCAGTGACATTTGTAACCGGGCAGGGCCGTGGAGGCAGTGACATTTGTAACCGGGCAGGGCCGTGGAGGCAGTGACATTTGTAACCGGGCAGGGCCGTGGAGGCAGTGACATTTGTAACCGGGCAGGGCCGTGGAGGCAGTGACATTTGTAACCGGGCAGGGCCGTGGAGGCAGTGACATTTGTAACCGGGCAGGGCCGTGGAGGCAGTGACATTTGTAACCGGGCAGGGCCGTGGAGGCAGTGACATTTGTAACCGGGCAGGGCCGTGGAGGCAGTGACATTTGTAACCGGGCAGGGCCGTGGAGGCAGTGACATTTGTAACCGGGCAGGGCCGTGGAGGCAGTGACATTTGTAACCGGGCAGGGCCGTGGAGGCAGTGACATTTGTAACCGGGCAGGGCCGTGGAGGCAGTGACATTTGTAACCGGGCAGGGCCGTGGAGGCAGTGACATTTGTAACCGGGCAGGGCCGTGGAGGCAGTGACATTTGTAACCGGGCAGGGCCGTGGAGGCAGTGACATTTGTAACCGGGCAGGGCCGTGGAGGCAGTGACATTTGTAACCGGGCAGGGCCGTGGAGGCAGTGACATTTGTAACCGGGCAGGGCCGTGGAGGCAGTGACATTTGTAACCGGGCAGGGCCGTGGAGGCAGTGACATTTGTAACCGGGCAGGGCCGTGGAGGCAGTGACATTTGTAACCGGGCAGGGCCGTGGAGGCAGTGACATTTGTAACCGGGCAGGGCCGTGGAGGCAGTGACATTTGTAACCGGGCAGGGCCGTGGAGGCAGTGACATTTGTAACCGGGCAGGGCCGTGGAGGCAGTGACATTTGTAACCGGGCAGGGCCGTGGAGGCAGTGACATTTGTAACCGGGCAGGGCCGTGGAGGCAGTGACATTTGTAACCGGGCAGGGCCGTGGAGGCAGTGACATTTGTAACCGGGCAGGGCCGTGGAGGCGGAGGCATTTGTAAGCGGGCAGGGCCGCGGAGGCGGTGGCATTTGTAAGCGCGCAGGGCCGTGGAAGCGGTGGCATTTGTAAGCAGGCAGGGCCGTGGAGGCGGTGGCATTTGTATGCAGGAAGGGCCGTGGAGCGGCAGCGTTTGTACGTGGGCAGGGCCGTGGAGCGGCAGCGTTCATACGCGGGCAGGGCCGTGGAAGCGGTGGCATTTGTAAGCAGGCAGGGCCATGGAGCGGCAGCGTTCATACGCGGGCAGGGCCGTGGAAGCGGTGGCATTTGTAAGCAGGCAGGGCCATGGAGCGGCAGCGTTCATACGCGGGCAGGGCCGTGGAAGCGGTGGCATTTGTAAGCAGGCAGGGCCATGGAGCGGCAGCGTTCATACGCGGGCAGGGCCGTGGAAGCGGTGGCATTTGTAAGCAGGCAGGGCCATGGAGCGGCAGCGTTCATACGCGGGCAGGGCCGTGGAAGCGGTGGCATTTGTAAGCAGGCAGGGCCATGGAGCGGCAGCGTTCATACGCGGGCAGGGCCGTGGAAGCGGTGGCATTTGTAAGCAGGCAGGGCCATGGAGCGGCAGCGTTCATACGCGGGCAGGGCCGTGGAAGCGGTGGCATTTGTAAGCAGGCAGGGCCATGGAGCGGCAGCGTTCATACGCGGGCAGGGCCGTGGAAGCGGTGGCATTTGTAAGCAGGCAGGGCCATGGAGCGGCAGCGTTCATACGCGGGCAGGGCCGTGGAAGCGGTGGCATTTGTAAGCAGGCAGGGCCATGGAGCGGCAGCGTTCATACGCGGGCAGGGCCGTGGAAGCGGTGGCATTTGTAAGCAGGCAGGGCCATGGAGCGGCAGCGTTCATACGCGGGCAGGGCCGTGGAAGCGGTGGCATTTGTAAGCAGGCAGGGCCATGGAGCGGCAGCGTTCATACGCGGGCAGGGCCGTGGAAGCGGTGGCATTTGTAAGCAGGCAGGGCCATGGAGCGGCAGCGTTCATACGCGGGCAGGGCCGTGGCGGTGGGGCATGCGGAGCAGCGGCGTGAGCAGAGCCTGGGTCTGTACGCACAGCCGGCCCACCGCAGTCAGCACACAAAGCGGCGGCTTCCTCCCTGCCACGCTGGCACCCGGAAGCAACCGACTTGGGGCCTCACTAGCCCTCCGGGAAGAGCAGGAAGCCGCTGAAGACGCTGTCGGCCTCCGTGCCACTGTACACGTTGTTGCCGGTGGCGGGGTCGCTCTCGATCCAGACCGTGTCGTCCTGGGCCAGGCTGAGCACGCTGCTCCCGGAGTTCACCTGCAGGAGGCCCCGGCTGTTGCTGTCGCAGAAGCCCAGCGTCCGGTTCCCAGAGTGCAGCAGGTGGAGGCAGAGGTTCCCGCTGGAGACCACCTGGAAGGCGAAGTAGTAGAGGCCGGGCTCCCGGCAGGTGAACTTGCCCGTGGTCGTGCTGTAGGAGGTGCTGGCGTTGGTGATGAGGTTGTCAAACACCAGGATTTCCCCGCCACGGGGCGGGTTCTTCCGGGAGACCGAGAAGGCAGGACGGGGCTGGTCCTTGACATTGCCAGCCTGGCCTTTGCCTCCCTTCTTCCCTGGCTGCCCGGGGAGCCCGGGGGGGCCATCTGGCCCTCGGAAGCCCTGGTTCCCTGGCATGCCAGGAGCCCCGGGTTCCCCCTCATCACCCTTGGGTCCCTGGATCCCGGTCCTTCTCCCTGGCGCCCCTGGAAGAGAAGAGCAGGGCTCAGCCCAGGGAGCCTGCCCCCACCCCCGCTGCCGGTGCCTCCCTTCTTCCCTGGCTGCCCGGGGAGCCCGGGGGGGCCATCTGGCCCTCGGAAGCCCTGGTTCCCTGGCATGCCAGGAGCCCCGGGTTCCCCCTCATCACCCTTGGGTCCCTGGATCCCGGTCCTTCTCCCTGGCGCCCCTGGAAGAGAAGAGCAGGGCTCAGCCCAGGGAGCCTGCCCCCACCCCCGCTGCCGG